AAGATGCATCATTGTCTACAAAATGGCAATATCCAAGTTTTAAACTTTCACCTAATCTGCATAGGTTGTATGTTTTTATTTATTTATTTATTTTTACCATCACAAACAGAGAAGGTATGATTATTAATAAAAACAATAAATCATTAGTCAGTTCTGCTTTTCTGATTAAAGTTTACATGGACACAGTGGGACCTTTAGCCTGTGGTGTATTGTTGATATTTGGTGGGCAGACTGCAGCTCAGCTATCCTCTCTGCCACTTGCAACCCTCAGTCTATTTATGGCAGTCTTCTCTTTGCACTTTGTCACTAATGGGCCTCTGCTCCCTCATACCCCAACATCTTATTAGATTCTCCAAACGTTTGGTGTAGAGGTGCTAGCTCAAAAACACCCAATTGTTTAGATCCTACAGAGGTATACAGCATGGGGCATGGAGTAAAATACAACACAGGGAGAAGAAAAACTGCAATTTTTTTCAAATGCTTTCCATAGAATAAAATGAGTAAAATCAGTTAAATGCATGTGATTGGAATTCCTTAAGATGTTCCAGGGTTGACTCTGAATTCCCTCCTGGTCTGTTGTACAGTTCCTCTCTGTGCTCAGGATACTAGTAGGGTGGGCCCTACCCGTGTAATTTCTCTGGTTCCTGTGTAGGCCAGGACCTAAACAAACCAAAAATGTGGGTACAACTGATGCCTGCCACGATCAAAACAGTGATAAAAGACAGGCCACTGTGGTCTCTGGAAAAAGGACATAAGATTTGCTGTGTAGCTTGCGTGCTAATGACAGTTCATTTAGATTCATTCTCAACAGGAACAGTTGAGAATGATAATAACTAAACAGGACTGCTGTGAAAAGAACCTAGAAAAGACACATATGTTGATAAACGGTCTACACCAGGGAAGATGAGATGATGATGCAGAATGTAGGAGCTAAAGTATTATCTTTGGCATTTCTGATTTTAGTCTGGGACAGTATCCTCTTGTTCTTTTTCAGTGGAACATTTCCACCACCTAGTGTTTTTCTCAGTAAACCCTCCCATTCAATTTTTTTAACTCAAATTTGTTGTAAAATTGGAACAAATTCGCTGAATGATTTGATGGAAACAATGTTCCTGTAGGCAGAAGGAGAGGAAAAACACACACACACACACACACACACACACACACACACACACACACACACACACACACACGAGTTAATAAGGAACTGATGTTTGATACCTGACCTCTGTTAGGACTTTTTGCTTGTGGAAACATCCACAGAGAAATGGTTTATTTATTAAACGCCACCCATGTGCATAGCTGACTGTTTTTGTTTAATAGCTAAGGAAAATGTCAGTGCTACCGAGGCTGGTTAAACATATGCTATCTTCCAACTTCTGTAAATGTTGAACTTTTTCCAAAAACCTTGTCAGGGCTCAGTAGCTGAATTTTCTCCTTCACGCTGTTGTCTTATCTGCTATCACTCACACACAGCAGGCAGCAGTTGCAGCCTATTCTGTGTCTTGTATTCTGTTGATCCATTCCACGTTAGTTATTTTAAGCGTTTTTTACAACAATGAATGTGTAGATGCCAAAGGCAACTAACCATTTAATACACAAACCACACACAACATACCAGAGTAATCTTGACCAGGCAGGTGGATGCAACCATAAAATATCATAAATAATACCCCCAGCCAAGAAGTTTGAACCATCTCACTTTTGCTCATGAACCTTTGTTCACTTAAGTGATCACTAATATTGCAAATTTAGACAAAAGTTTCAGGCTTTTATCAAACATCTTTAGTTTTATTGTTTGAAAGAAAGTGACCCAAGGTCACAAACATTTAAAGATATCAACAAACAAAAATGACCTTATACGGAACAGAAAAAGAGTCCCGTGAGTATCATTCATGTTCAAGAATAGAAGGAAACATGAACAGCTTTTGCCCTGGGCCAAACTAAACAGTGAAGGAGGAGGAACAGTGGACATCGAACTGTTCTATTGTTCCTCTGGCCTTCTGTTCAGTCACGACTCCTTTCACTATGTACTGATCATAAAACCTGATCTAAGATCTGAACTTCTGCATATTCGGTTATTATCAACTGGAACTTTTGGGACATTTGAGTGGATTTCTTGACAATGAAAAGTAAAATATTGCAATATTTGGATGACATATTGTAGCTAACCAATTCAGCCAATGGTTTAAATTTGGATGACATATTGTAGCTAACCAATTCAGCCAATGGTTTAATGTTTAACCAAGTATTTGCTTGCAATCAACTCTTACTTCACCAGTGCCTTTTGTGGGAGTTACAAATATTAGATATTTGCAGCTGTTTATAAATTTGAGTTATTAACTGGAATAAATATAGATGTTTTCTAGTATGAGGGGTGTGTGGCTTGAGCTTTTGGTTTTAATTTTGTGCCTAATTCAGCCAAACAAAACCCTATTTACATATTACATGTTGAGGCTGACCGATATATTGAATTTTTTTTATTATCGGCCATCGGCCAAATTATTTTCTAAGGTCGATTTTAAAACATAAATTAATTTTTTCCTCCACCTGACCCAATCCTCATGTAAACCCTCTGATCTCTATTAAGGTAGCGCAACTCGGGTTGTGAATGGCCACAGTCACCAATTCTTGTCATGTGTCTATGCCTATATGTATGTATGTCTAATCTCAGAATTGTGTGTACTGAAACTCTAATTTCCCTCTGGGATTAAAAAAGTATCTTTTGAATTTGAATTTTGAATTGAATAAATAAATAAAAATCTGGCACCTCTGTGGCCAACTGCTGCCACTAGTAGACTGAAGAAAAGATCCAAAAGACCCCAACACACCTTTTTTTTTTATGTTTCGAGTTTGTTTTATATGTGAAGTTAAATAAATATTAAGAGATTTATTGACTTATTTCGTTTATATTGCACACAGTGAGTGTTCAGTTGTCTGGTTTCTGCGGTTTCTGTTCCACTGATCTGGTAAATGTAGCAGCCACTTGTGTTTATCCCCAGAGAGGTAGCAATAACAGCCTGTGTTTTGTTGACTGTAATATGGATCTGTTTCAAATCACGGATGCTTACCTTCTGCATAAGATGTGCTCTGGATGTCTTTATTATGCCACCACCTGCTTGTGTTTTGCAGTCAGTCAGGATGTGTATCTACATTAAGAGTGACCAGGCTCCAGAACTCCTACAGTGAATTGATTTTGTTCTGCACATACGAAATCAGGTTTTCACAATTAAGATAGAAGATTAGAGCAATCTGGCTACCCACTAGGAACATCCCGGGCTGAGAGGATTGTGTTTAGTGTGAATGACAACAAATGAATTCTCCTGACAGGACTGAGTGAGTGGGAAGTCTGGGTTTTACTGGCATAGATAGCATTCCTGCTCATTTGAATCAAGATAAGTAACTTGTGAGAAATTAAACCTAAAGTTACAGCTAACTCTGAGTTGACATTGGGATGAAGGTGAGAACACCTAAACCCTAAAATAAACAGTTTTCCAGGATTTTCTTCCACCACAGAGTATAGATAATTGTGGTATAATTTCATGGACCTTTCCTCAGTTTTGTGTTGCTGATTGATTTAATCCTTAATTTGTTTTGTACTTTTTTCTTCTGCAGAAGTCGGCATTTGTTTATTTTCACATAATCTTTCATGGCGTGTCTTAACTTAAAGGTGTGGCTGACTGAAAAAACATTTTATAAATGTTATTTCTGATTTATAATTAGTCACTTGGAGTTATTCATGCAGTCTGAACATGAAAACCGTCTCCTACACCTATCTTCTGCAGTAGCTTCTGATAGGCAGTGAAGCGCTAGGATTTGAAAATCCTCACAGATCTATGTCACACTGTGAATTAACATTCAAAGACTCACCCATCTTGACTCACAACAGGGAAGGCTGTTGTTGTTTTAACGTCTAGTAGTCAGCAACGGACGTCTCGGCTAGTTTAAGCTAATTGTTAGCATTAGCAACTTCACCTCATAGGGAACCTAAGTCTCCTCCCTTTTCTGTCGGCTCATGGGTCCCTGAAAGAACGAAAAAATGAATGTGAGTCAACGGGGCTTAAAATGCTATTTTCTAATCTGCTTTGCCTTACGCCCTGGATCACACATATGTTGTACTGTGCTTTGACCACGCCTGTCACATACTTTGAGATTTTTCATCTTGTAAAAGTTTCATAATTAGCATGACTACACACCAGAAATCGGCATGTCGCATATGTGACGTAACTACGTAATCTCCTCTCCCCTAACGTAGCTGCTACTTACCAAAAGGCCAAATTTATTGTAGTTCTTTCCTCCTGTGGGAATTCTCATCAACTTCCCAAACCTCCTCAGGTGACATATTTTAACATGGAGCAGCAGCAGGTCTATCCGAAGTCTCTCTCAGATGCCTAAGCTCCTCGCTCCATCTCTAAATCTGAGTCCAGCCACCCGACGGAGGAAACTCATTTCATCCATTTGTTTTTGAGATCTTATTCTTTTGGTCATTACCCACAGCTGATGATGATGGGTGAGGATCGGGATGAAGATTAAGGGAAATTGTTTGTACCACGCAAACACAAAGGGATCTTCACTACTGTTTCGATCCAAACAATGGATATTGCTAGATTATTTAATATCATGGTTTGCTCAAACAAACTCACATTTTAAGATCTGAAGCCTCAAAGGTTAGACATGATTGCTGCAAAATATCAATATGGACCTTTAAAAAAACTTTCATTTTTGGAGGGATTTCTGTAATCTTTCTGTTTGTGACATATTTTATTGAGTGGTATATTAGGCAAATCTTTCTTCTTTTTTTGTTATTTGTTTTGTTTAGCAGAACCAGTATATTCAGTCTTAACCACTTAATGTTTATTTTTGTTCATTCCTTGTATGGTTTGATTCATTATTAGCTAGTTTGGTGCAACAGATTGTATTCAGAACTTCTTAAGCTGATTTTTGTCGGGCTATCTTCTTCAGGCACAGACCCTTACATTTTCTTTTGTTTTTGTTTTCAGACTTGACTTCCTCCTCTCTTTCTCAGCATCCCTCCTTCCCAACTCATATTCCTTGTTGGCTACAACTCCCTCAGGGTGGAGATAAGAATGGGTTAAAGCAACTGTGACTTGACACCAAGACAACACAAGCACATTCACCTGCACAGGTAAGACTTCAACATTTAACAGTAGTTATATTTGCATTATTTGATCAGGTGATGATATTTTTACAAAGTGTCATCTGTTGTTTTGAGACTGAGTCATTATTGTTGAGGGATAATTAAGGATCTCCACAATGACCTAATTATGCACCATTTAAAACTGCTCAAACAGAAACACGAGACCTGTTTATTTGCTTACTGATGCTCTGACAAACACACACGTCTTTAAACTGCCATTGTTGTCTGGTCATTTATGCCCATCCCCCTCAAACAGGTGGAAAAACCTCCACCTAATAAGTCAACCTGGTGCAAACCACAGTATTCAAATGCAGTCTGGAAGGCATTTTTTCCCCATCCAGTCACAAACCTGTTGGTTGTGTGACGGGTTGGAAGGGTTAAGCCTGGTTTATGCTTCTCCGTCAGCTCCGCAAGGGACAGACACGCACGGATTGACGGAAGCGTTTTGCTCTTTTACTTCTCCGTCTCCTGGAGAGTGTTGCAAAGCAATTGCGCGGCAGGACAACAGAGGGCGTAGCGCTGTTCTGTGGTATCCTGTCATGTATCGGTCCAAGATAGTGTGTTTACCGTAAATCCTCTAATACAGGCACGGGCCTGTATTTGACTCAAGCTCATCAAGCTCCAGGCCTTTATTGGAAGGAGGGTCAGTATTAGAGGCAGGCCTCTATTTCTATTTGAGCAAAATGAACTAATGGTTCGCTGGAGTTTTTGACAATTAAAAGTGCGCCCACATTTTCAACGTTAAACACATTTCTTTTAACAACGGTAGTTCCTGCTTCAGCCCTCTCCCCCCTCCCCCTGCGCAGCGGCCGCAAACTCACTGATGCGCCTGCAGCCTCTCGGAGTTCCTGCTGCCCTAAACATTAAAATAATTTTTTCATTTTCTGTTCCTCACTTCTGATGACCTTCAATGGTGTCTGTTTGTTGCAACAGCAGGTACAAAAACTAACTTGTTTTTATTTGACTATTTTTCTGTCCTGTCTGTTTATTATCTTCCTGCATCTCCTCTCAATCCTAAAGAAAAACTGCTACCTGGGTTCATATATATTCACCTTTGAACTGCAGTTCTAAAAGATCTACCGACCGCAAAAACAGCCGAGCGCTCGCTGTTTGGCGGCCGTATCAGTGATCAGTGCGTCGGAGGACAAGGTGATGCGCGCAGCGCCCCGCTCCACAGCATGCAGCGAAACACATCAGGCGCAAATAAAAGACAGAAAACATTAAAGGAAATGAACTGACATGAACGATCGCGTGTTAAATTAGTTTTTGAGGTGGCGACACCTGATTGTTACTGTGGCCGTGCTCAGGAGGCAGATCTACCGACCGCGAAAACAGCGGAGCGCTCCCTGCTTGCCGGCCGCATCAGTGATCTGTGCGTCGGAGGACAAGTTGATGCGCCCCGCTCCACAGCAGCGATACACATCAGGCGCAAATAAAAGACAGAAAACATTAAAGGAAATGAACCGACATGAACGATCGCGTGTCAGTACCTACGGTCTGGCACAGCGCGTTGCCCCCCCACCCCCCCCACCCCACCCCACCCCACCCCCACCCCCACCCCCGAGCGCAGGAGCTTGTCACCTGCTGATAGCAGGCTGCTGTCTTTTCCGAGGGCTGCATCTTGCCGGTCATTATCACGTGACAGCGACTAGTCGACGACAGGCATAAAAAGTCACTATAGTGAAGTTGACTAATTCATACACCCCCTACTGCTGCTCTCCAGAGTGTTCTGCAGCATAATCAGCACGTTCTCTTTGAACTTGATAGTGTAATGACCTGGCTGGGGTTGTAAGCCAGGTGCATTCTGGGTATTGTGTTATATGTGTTTCCTATCGTTCTGCTAGTTCCTATGTGTTGATTTGCGTGTTGTGTGAGTGTTTTGTAAGCCACAGGGAAGGTGATGTGTGTTCTGTGGAGCGAGTTGAATTAGCATGGTTAACTGACACCGTGACTCTGTGTGGTAGGAGCGTGATAGAGGATCGTGTCTGTAGCGTTACAAAGTGTTGAAGAAAAAGCCTAATAAAGGTCTGCGTGAACCTCTACTGCCTCCTGCTGGTTGATTTGGGGACTATAACCCTGCCACTGGGACGCTCATACTTGCTTGTTACCACATTCCATCCGGCCACAATAAGAGACCGGCCATTATTTACCTCCGCTGACTCCGACATCGGCCAAAATTGGAGACCCGGCCTTTAATTGAATACCGGCCTGTATTAGAGGATTTACGGTATATTGTGATTTTTGTGTATATAAGAGACTTTAAACACTGACATATTTGTCTCCCACCGCTTCATGCGCTCCCCACCTCTAAACCCACGTTTCCTGTCATTTCCGTCCACAAATAAAACGTTTGCTGTGCATCTTTTCACTCCTCCAGTCACGGGAGAATTAAACCTTGATATTTTTAGAGTTTTTTCGCGAGGTATTCTTCAAGCTTCTCCGTGTCTGCTGCTAGTTATCCTCGGCTCTCTTTGCAATGGCGGCGCTGTAAACAACAGCGGCGTCCTGACCAATCACAAGCTTGCGTAATCCGTCTCGTTCGACGGATGTTTAAAAAAGTGGGCTCGACTCCGTACGTACTTGCGTGCCCTACGCAAGGACAGATAGTGGCGTTGCGTGTGCTCCGCACTGACGCAGAGGGAGAAGCATAAATCAGGCTTTAGACGTTTGCTAGCCTCATTTCACAGCAAGACTGGGGAAGGCACAAGGTGTAAGGATGAAAGTTGAGTTCCGTGTAGAAGTTCTGCTTGTTAGCAGCTTCGTAGGCTGGCATGATGTGAGCTGCAGAGCACTGCATACTAAACAGGCAGAGACATTTTAAACAGGATTTTACAGATTTGCTGTAGTCATGTGGGGATTATAAACATATGTGAGGCTTTGAGTCCATAACAAAATGGGAAAAGTCAGACATCACTTAAGCCAGAATTAATGGATTCTTTTGTATTCTTTTGGACAATGTGAATATTAAAGTATAATCATTAACCTTCGGTGCAGTGTGGGAGCATCATGGCTATTGTTCAGCTGTGCTTTTGTCACTAGACGTAGCAGAAAATCCTGTCATGGTGGTTTGTGTCAGCATCTCCTGCCTTGAACTTGATCAACCTCTGATCACTTCCTTCAAGACAAGAATGGGTTATCTCTGCACTGTTGCACTTTTTATGCTTTCCTAGATAGATAGGCTATATAAAACTGATTAATGTAACTTTGATGGTTTTTATTGTGTGCAGTTGACTTCCTGTATGGTGACTGTCATTTTTGAGTGTGTGCTGTGCTGTCTGCACATGTGGTTGTTTATAGTTCTGTACTAAAGACTGGACTATTTAAAGTGACAGAGATGCACACAGTTCTTCAGACATCTACATGAAATTATTGTCCAACTTTGTGCAACACGTACCTAGAGGGATTACTGTTAGATTCTTCCTGTTAGGTTCTTAATACGGAAGTCTCATGTTGTTCAGCCTTCTTTTCAACAAGCCTAGCTTCTCCTACTCATTTTCCAGAAGTGTCCATATTTGTGTGGGTTGCACTTGCAAGGAGTGCTTAATTATCCATGAGGAACAAGATGGGCAAGGGAGGAGTCAGTAGAAGAAAGCCTGTGCCTCTGCTTGTCCCAGTTAGTAATAAGAAACTAATTTACCTCCAGCATTCTGCATCATTATCTCATCTTCCCTGGTGTAGACCGTTTATCAACATACATTTAAGCATAATTACAGGGGGAAACGGAAAGAGCTGGCAGGGCAAACGAAGAAGGCCTCGGGTGGTATAAAGAGTGGTGGGATGGGGGGGGGGGGGGGGCAGGCAAAGGAAGTAGAGACTTGTTGCTAGGAGGCTGAGAGAAACACGATACAGAGGCAGGAAGGATTCAGTCAGTGCTCAGAATGGTCACGTCGCTGATGCATTTTAACTTGTCACTGGCGCTTTTTAAACCACACATTTATTTTTTACTCATGTTGTTAGCAGCCTGTCTGCTTGCTGTGTAACACTTTGTGGTTGAGAGGTGTTGGAGTAGCTGTGAAATTAAAACATCGTAGAAAAATATCCCATTAGTTCAGTTGGTAAGCTAATTACATGTAAAACAAACTTTTGTGTGAATTTTTTTATTTGATTTTTTTAGTCAGTTTTTCAGTGCAGGGGTTATGAATCCTGGTTGTGGAAGGCTGGTATCCAGCATCATTTGGTTGTTTCAGTGCTTCAACACACCTGATTTTTATCAGCTGGGGTCTCATTAATCAAACATTGCGTAGAATCCTTACTAAAACTGTACTTAAGCTCAGCAAAATAAATGTACTTACGCCAAGTAGGTTTGTGATCTATCAAACATGGAGTACGCACAGTTGCACGCAATCTCCGCTTCATAAATCGGAGACTAACGAGAATGTTTCTCAGCTGCATTTCAGTCACATCCCGCCCTCACCACGCCCACTTACTGCCATAAATAGTCGATGCAAAGGGCCTTGTGGATCTCATGTATATACATAAGCCGGCTGTTGCAGCGCTCCGCCAATGACATGGCGACCGTAGATCAAGACAGATCAAGGAAGCGCAATTTCACAGAAGCAGAAGTTGAGGTACCTGTGGGTGAGGTGGAGAAATGAAAGGAAGTGCTTTTGCAAAACAAATAAGAGAAAATCCACAGAGTGGCACAGCGTTGCTGAAGCTGTCAATGTTCTGAATTCTTCAGAGAGATCTGTGGTGGATATAAAAAAAAGGGTCCAATCGGGATTCGATCCCCAGACTCCCGGGGGAAAGTCCTGCACGCTAACCAGCCAGCCAAACAGAGATCTCCGCTGTACAATTAGCCAGGGCGCATCATCAATTGGGTCACAGTGACAGAACACACACTGTCACAGACGCATGATATTCTGTCTCAATCTGTCCCCCTGCTGATATTCTGCATTCAGGGTATCCGCGGGTCCTTAAAAAGTCTTAAATTTGCTTTTCCAAATTTAAGGTCTTAAAAATCCTTAAAAATGACAAATAATCCTTAA